GTAGAAGTGGTTCTGGAAACTTTGGTGGTGGTCATGGAGGTGGTTTTGGTGGGAATGACAACTTTGGTCATGGAGGAAACTTCAGTGGTCATGGTGGCTTTGGTGGCAGCCATGGTGGTGGTGGATATGGTGGCAGTGGGGTTGGCTATAATGGATTTGGTAATGACGGAAGCCATTTTGGAGGTGGTGGAAGCTACAATGATTTTGGCAATTACAACAATCAGTCTTCAAATTTTGGATCCATGAAGGGAGGAATCTTTGGGGGCAGAAGCTCTGGTCCCTATGGTGGTGGCGGCCAATACTTTGCCAAACCACGAAACCAAGATGGCTGTGGTGGTTCCAGTATCAGCAGTAGCTATGGCAGTGGCAGAAGATACTAATTAGGAAACAAAGCTTAGCAGGAGAGGAGAGCCAGAGAAGTGACAGGGAAGCTACAGGTTACAGCGGACCTGTGAACTCAGCCAAGTGCAGTGGTGGCAGGGCCTAGCTGCTACAAAGAAGACATGATTTAGACAAATACTCATGTGTATGGGCAAAAAAAACTTGAGGACTGTATTTGTGACTAATTGTATAACAGGTTATTTTAGTTTCTGTTCTGTAGAAAGTATAAAGCATTCCAACAAAGGGTTTTAATGTAGATTTTTTTTCTTTTTTTTTTTTTACACCCATGTTGTTGATTGCTAAATGTAATAGTCTGATCGTGACACTGAATAAATGTCTTTTTTAAAAAAAAAAAGAAAGAAAAGAAAAGAAAAGAATAATAAATAGCCGAGCGCGGTGGCTCACGCCTATAATCCCAGCACTTTGGGAGGCCGAGACGGGTGGATCACAAGGTCAAGAGAGAGAGACCATCCTGGTCAACATGGTGAAACCCCATCTCTACTAAAAATACAAAAATTAGCTGGGCATGGTGGCGCATGCCTGTAGTCCCAGCTACTTGGGAGGCTGAGGCAGGAGAATTGCTTGAACCCAGGAGACGGAGGTTACGATGAGCTGAGATCGCGCCATTGCACTCCAGCAACTGGGTAAAAAGAGCGAAACTCCGTCTCAAAAAAAAAAAAAAGAATAATAAATAAATGAATAAAAAAATAATATATATAGGCCACAGTGGCTCATGCCTGTAATCCCAGCACTTTGGGATGCCAAGGTGGGTGGATCACCTGAGGTTAGGAGTTCGAGACTAGCCTGGCCAACATGGTCAAACCCCATCTTTACTAAAAATACAAAAATGAGCTGGGTGTGACGGTGTACTCCTGTAATCCCAACTACTCAGGAGGCTGAGGCAGAGAATCACTTGAACCCGGGAGACAGAGGTTACAGTAAGCCAAGATCATGCCACTGCACTCCAACCTGGACGACAAAGTGAGACTCTGTCTCAAAAAACAATAATAATATTTATATAAGCAAAACATGAAAAAGGCATGTGGAAGTTCTCTATGTAGTGATCTGGAAAGGTCTCCAAGATATATGAAGTAAATAAACAAGATTGGGGGTGGGAAGTACAGAATAGTGGGGAACCATGGGCAACTTTAGATGAAAAGTGGGAAAAACAAGATTATACAATTGACCCTTGAACGACACAAGTTTGAACCATACAGGTCTATTCATGTGCAGTAGCTATTCAAAGTGTGATCATAGCATGCTACAGCCTCAAACTCCTGGCCTGGGGCAGTCTTCCCAAGTCAGCCTTTGGAGTAGCTAAAACTACAGGCAAACCTGGATTACACACAGATTTTTTTTCGACAAATATATTTTTTTAATTTTTGGATATTTGTAACACTTTGAAAAAACTCAGAGACAAAGCACCTAACTTAGACATATAAAAAATATTAAGAAAAAGTCTTAACTTATGCCATGAATGCAGAAAATATATGTAGGTACTAGTCTATCATTTACTATAAGATATATACAAATCTATTATAAAAAGTTAAAATTTATACAAACTTATGCACACAGGCCTGGCACAGTGGCTCATACCTGTAATCCCAGCACTTTGAGAGGCCAAGGTTGGGAGTTCGAGACCAGCCTGACCAATATGGAGGAAATGCCATCTCTACTAAAAATACAAAATTAGCCGGGCATGGTGGTGTATGCCTGTAATCGCAGTTACTTGGGAAGCTGAGGAAGGAGACCCGCTTGAATCCAGGAGGTGGAGGTTGCAGTAAGCTGAGATCGCATCATTGCACTCCAGCCTGGGCAACAAGAGCAAAACTCTGGCTCAAAAAAAAAAAAATTATGCACACAAACACAGACTATACACAGTACCATTCACAGTCAACAGTAAATGGGAAGATGCGAAGATGTAGTATTAAGTAATAACTGCATAAAATTAACTGTAGTATATACTATACTTCTATAATAATTCTGGAGCCACCTACTGTTGCTGTTTCAGTGAGCAAGCATTGTGAGTATCCCTTAAAATGCTGTGTGATGCTAATCATCTCTACATGAACAGTTCTTTCCTCCAGTAAAAAGCGTTACAGTAAAAAGTGATCTCTCGAGGTTCTTGCATATTTTTTATCATGCTTAGTGCAATACTGTAAACCCTGAATAACACCATGAGATCCCTACCAAGTGCCACTAATGCTGGAAGTGCTCTCAAGAAACAGAAAAGTCATGACATTATAAGAAAAAGTTGGCCAGGCGTGGTGGCTCATGCTTGTAATCTCAGCATTTTGGGAGGCTGAGGCAGGAGGATCGCTTGAGCCCAGGAATTTGAGACCAGCCATGGTAACATAGTGAGACTGTGCCTCTACAAAAAAATAAAAACATCCTGGAGTGGTGGCACACAGCTGTAGTTCCAGCTACTCAGGAGGCGGAGATGGGAGGATGGCTTGAGCCTGGGAGGTCAAGGTCCTAGTGACCTATGATCAGACCACTGCACTCCAGCCTGGGTAACAGCCAGGCTGTTTATATCAAAATAAATAAATAAATAAATATAAGACAAATTTGAATTGCTTGATATATACCACAGATTTATATCTGCAGAGGCAGTAGTCAGCCATTTTAAAAAAAAAAGGAAATTCATGAAGCCAGGCTATGCAATGAGAACAGCAGCAAAAATTAAGTTTTGGGGGAGGTCAAAAATTATACGTGGGGCCGAGTATGGTCGTTCACACCCGTAATCCCAGCACTCTTCGAGGCTGCGGTGGGTGGATCACCTGAGAGGTCAGGAGTTTGGGAAACCAGCCGGTCAACATGGTGAAACCCTGCTCTACTAAAAAATATAAAAATTAGCTGGGCATGGTGGTGGGCCCCTGCAATCCCAGCTACTTGGGAGGCTGAGGCAGGAGAATCACTTGAACCTAGGAGGTAAAGGTTGCAGTGAGTTGAGATCGTGCCATTGCACTCCAGTCTGGGTGACAAGCACAAAACTCCATCTCAAAAAAAAAAAAAAAAAAAAAGGAAATTCATGAAGCCAGGCTATGCAACACCAACAACAGCAGCAGCAGTAGTTAAGTTTTGCAGGGGGTCGGGGTGGAGTCAAAAATTGTACTTGGGCCAAGGCATAGTGGCTCATGCCAGTAATTCCAACACTTTGGGAGGCTGAAATGAAAGGATTGTTGATGCCCAGGAGTTTGAGACCAGCCTAGGCAATATAGGGAGGCCATCTCCACACACACACACACACACACACACACACACAAAATAGCTGGGCATGGTGGCATGGTCCCAGCTACTCATTCAGGAGGCTAAAAGGGGAGGATCACTTGAGTCCACAAAGGTAAGTCTATAGTGAGCCTTGATGCTGCCACTGCACTCCAGCCTGAGCCACAGTATGATCCTGTCTCAAAAAAAAAAAATTACACTTGGATTTTCTACTGCACAGGGGTTGGCTATCCAACCCCTATATTGTCCAAGGGCCAACTGTCTTTTTTTTTTTTTTCCTTTAAAGACGAGGTTTCACCATGTTGGTTAGGCTGGTCTTGAACTCCTGACCTCTGGTGATCCGCCCACCTTGGCCTCCAAAGTGCTTGGATTACAGGCATGAGCCACCGTGCCCGGCCCCAAGGGCCAACTGTCTATTCTTTTTTGTTTGTTTTTGTTTTTTTGATATGAAGTCTCACTCTTGTTGCCCAGCTGGAATGCAGTGGCGCAATCTCAGCTCACTGCAACCTCCGCCTCCCAGATTCAAGTGATTCTCCTGCTTTAGCCTCGTAAGTAGCTGGGACTACAAGCATGCGCCACCACACCCAGCTCATTTTTGTATTTTTAGTAGAGACAGGGTTTCACTGTGTTGGCCAGGATGGTGTCGATCTCCTGAGCTGGTGATCCGACGGCCTTGGCCTCCCAAAGTGCTGGGATTGCAGGTGTGAGCCACTGCATCTGGCCATGATTAAACTTCTCTTAAAAAAAAAAACAACTAAAATTCACAAAGGATAAGTAATTTGCCTTTGTATTAACTATCATATAGTTAATAACAACAGAGTTGAATATAGTTAAGATTTTCCTAATGTTCTTTCCTTTTATCATACTGCCTTTTTGAAATTTTCAGGAATGGAAGATATAAAACTTTTTACAAGCAGGCTTTTCTCTGAAACTGCCACTGTCTCTGATTGTTCAGGAAAAATAACACTAGTGAGATTACACTGAAGTCATCTCCATATGAAGACTTGGTAAATAGTATAATGGCCATTGTTGGGTCAAAACATTCACCATCACCCACACAATACAAGGTAATAATTGGGCTTCATCTACCAGAAGAAGATGAAACCCATAAATGCCCTTATCATAGGTTTCAAATTCCAACACTACATTCTTTTTGCAAAACAAAATGAAATGTATGACACTAAGAAAATATCTATAAATACTTTCATACAGGGAAGAAAGCATAAAAGCAAGTCAGTTTTCTAATCTAAATAAGCCCAGAATAAGCATATGTAAATGTGTAATTTTCTTTTTACAATTAACTAAAACTGTTCAAGACCAGCCTGGCCAACATGGTGAAACCCCATCTCTACTAAAAATACAAAAATTATCACCATGTGTGTGGCTCTCACCTGTAATCCCAGCTACTCAGGAGGATGAGGAGCAGGAGAATCGTATTAACCTGGGAAGCAGAGGCTGCAGTGAACCAAGATCACGGCCCTGTACTCTAGCCTCGGCGACAGAGCAAGACTCCATCTCAAAAAAAAAAAAAAAAGAACAATTAACTAAAACCATAAAAAAAGTTATTGAGGATCCTGAGGTGGAGAGTCCCTAGCCTCTCAGCACATATATTTTTAAACAGAATCAAAACCCATCATATGTCAAGTTTACAAAGGATTTTTGTGTTTGAGGGTCTATCCCAAACATATATCTGTAAGAGAGAATAACACATCATATATCCAGGGCATCAAGTATCTGAAGATATCACCATTAATTCACACACAAACATCTGTACCATTCAGTACTAATTTTTAACAAGTACCAAGGAACCACCAATCCAATTCTGGGTCTCTCCTTTGTGAGCAGGCCCACCTGTAGGTCTTACTATCTCCCCTGCTCAATATCCTTCTATCACGCTGGACAACTATGACATTCACACTGATGACACAGTCAACACATCCCCTTAATCTCCTACTACTTCAATAACCTACACCTCCATTCCCCTTCAACAGCTCTGAGATAGTTAAGTCAGTTTTGTTTTGTTTTTTGAGACTATGTCTCACCCAGGCTGGGTTACAGTGACACGATCTTGGCTCACTGCAACCTCCGCCTCCCGGGTTCAAATGATTGTCCTGCCTCAGCTTCCTGAGTAGCTGGGATTACAGGCGCATGTGCCACCAGGTCCAGCTAATTTTTGTATTTTTAGTAGAGACAGGGTTTCACCATGTTAGCCAGGCTGGTTTCAAACTCCTGACCTCATGATCCACCCACCTCGGCCTCCCAAAGTGCTGAGATTACAGGCATGAGCCACCACACCCGGGCCAGTTAAGCCAGTTTTTGTCTTTACCTTGAAATAATGAACTCTGAGCTATCCAATTATATATTTCTTACAAAATCTGGTCTTCAACCACATTTCTGATTGTCTTTTTATTCTCCAAATACACCAGCCTCCCTATAGCTTTTGCTTCTTATAACTCCCAGCTCGGTCCCTTGGACTCAAACATATCTCCTACACTATCAATAGCAGTGTAAAGTTGCTTCCCATTTTATCTTTCTGTCCTGCAAGTTCCAATTTTGAATCAATCCAACCATCTTTTTTGTCTTACTATTCTTCGGCTGTCAAAGAAAGTGTAAAATCCATGCTACTGGGCCCTATTACAAATATATTATTTCTAACTAGTAGGACCCTCAATGTGGTCAACAATCTTTTAGCTCCTCAGTTTCTTTTGCTTCCTTTTTTTTTTTTGGCCCAGGCTGAAGTGCAGAGGTGCAATCTTGACTCACTACAACCTCTGTCTCCCAGTCTCAAGCAAATCCTCCCACCTCAGCCTCTCGAGTAGCTGGGACCACAACCACACACCACCACACCCAGCTAATTTTTTAATTTTCTGTAGAGACAAGGTCTTATGATGTTGCCCATGCGGGTCTCAAACTCCTGGGTCAAGTAATCCTCCCACCTCAGCCTCCCAAAGTGCTGGGATTAAAAAATCCAAAGTGTGCCACCACACCTGGCCAACAATCTTTTTTTGTTAAATCTATATTCTGTTTATTTTCCATTTAAGATTACCATGGCCATAATACTCAAGTCAGAAACTCGCCAGTGTCTTCAGTCTCCAAACTGACTTCTCCACAAATAACTGATCAATAAGGCCATTTGTCAAACTCCCTCACCTTCCTTTCTTTCTACTGCATCGTTATCCGTTTTCACTTCTATCTTTTTGGTGTCAAAGGACAAAATGTCTGACATATTTCCTAGATGAACTTTCCCCTCAACTTACAGAATTGTTTCATCTGTACTGAAAAGTAAAACACATATGGGCCATAATGGAAAGAACACAGGTTTCAGAACTTGACATACCTGCTCAAATCCTTGTCTTCATTATTGTCAGCTGTAAAAGAGGGATACTGACATCTAAACGACAAGCCTGTTGTGATCTATAAAGCGTCTTTATGTACCTGGCATATAGTATATTCTCAATAAAGACAAGTTTCACTAGTATTAGCTCTCCTTCACAACCAAACTCTGGATAATTTTATTCACTTCCTCTCATTAATAATTCAACCCGGCTGGGCGCGGCGGCTCACGCCTATAATCCCAGCACTTTGGAAGGCCGAGGCGGGTGGATCACGAGGTCAACAGATCCAGACCATCCTGGTCAACAAGGTGAAACCCCCGTCTCTACTAAAAATACAAAAATTAGCTGGGCATGCACGCCTGTAGTCCCAGCTCCTCGGGAGGCTGAGGCAGAAGAATTGCTTGAATCCAGAAGGCGGAGGTTGCGGTGAGCCGAGATCCTGCCATTGCACTCCAGTCTGGGTAACAGTGAAATTCCATCTCAAAAAAAAAAAAAAAAAAAAAAAAAAAAAAACCCACTACCGACTCACACCATCACCCAAGTCAGAAACTTCCTACTATTCCACTCAACTTTATTGAAACCTCTTGGAATTTCGTGCCATTCTCTCCCGCCTGAATGAGCACACTCGTTTTCTGCCTACCTGGCCTTTCTGCCTCTACATGGTCTTCACCTTCAATCCTTCCTCTATATTTTCACCAGAGATAATGCAATCACACCAAACTCCTGCTTACAAAACCTTCAACGGCTCCCCATGCCCGTAGCATAAAGTCCAAATTCCTCAGCAAGTTCTTCTCAGCGGTATACAATTTAAAGCTTTTTAAATTACACAAACCTGGGTTCCACTTCTATCAAAATCTGAACACTGGCTTAGTTCAGTCTTCAAACTGAAGCGTAAAAAGCAGAGAGGGGAAAGGAGGGGAGATGATGACAAGGAAGGAAAGAGAGGGGAAGGCAGTAGGGTCTGAGAGAAGGGAAGTGTTTTCCCGGGTAGAGGTGAACGTTTTCAAGGGAAGAGTGTGTCTGAGTGAAGTCAAGTGAAGAAGCCCAGATCTCTGAGGCAGGAGCGGGTATGGGAACAGGGAGGCGCTCAGTGGGGAGCTGGAAGTCTCTGAAACAAGAGTTTTCCGAGGAAAGGAAAGATCCCTGAATATCTGAAGTGAGAAAGGTCCCTAATGCGAGCGAGGTAACTTCTAATGGGTTCCTAGGTTCTAAGGGAGAACAGACGTGGTAGGGAGCCTGAGGGAAGTGAGAAGGAAAAGGGAAAGCGGCCGGGAAGGGAGCGTCCGCCGCCGCTGAGACGGGGACCTCTGGGAAGCCGAGGGGTGCAGTCGGGTGCGGAGGGACGCAAGAGCCTCTGCTCCGGGACCGAGGAGGTGGAGCGACAGCGCGGGCCGGGCGGGATGCCGGGGTTTGTGTCCCCCGTCCTCTCTTCACTTTACCTGAGGCAGGACTGAGCAGCCAGAGGGGTGCCTGCTCGGGCAAGAAGGGGAGGCGGCGGCAAAGACGGAGCATAGTAACCCTCACAGCTTGGTGGTGGCAGCGGCTCCTTAGCCTTCGGAGGCGGTGGGAGTCCCCCGCGCAGAAGCCGGCGACTCAACGGAGCTAGCGGCGGCGAAGAACGAGGAGGCTACTGCCATGGCCCCACAGTCGGGGCCGCTCCCCCCGCCTGTTTGGCAGGGCCAGGAGGACAATCCGACCAGAGAAACCAAGAGGGCAGCTAGCAGCGCTACCGAGCTCCGGGGCCGCTAGAGACTGAAACGCCTGCCCGGCCCAGCAGGGGGGATGGGGGCGGGGTCTCGACTGACCACGCCCCCTTAAGCCCTCCCGCAGAGTAGCCAATCAACCGTCAACTCCTGATAAACGAGCTAGTGGAATTGCCCAATTAGCGCTAGGAATGCCACGTGGTATGAGGGTGGGCACAATGGGCGTCCAGAAAAGCCAATCAACAGCCGTAGGCGCCAACTCCGGAGGACGAAGGGAACGAATAGGGAGGAAGGCGAGGTAAAAACAGAAGAAGCAGTGTGTGGGAAAGGCGGAACCGAGGAGGAGGGAATACACCTGGGGAAACCCAAGTCCAGGAGCCTCTTAGAGCGCGGGGCAGTAAACACAAGATGGACCAATAAATATGTTAAACACAGAAACGATTGGTAACTTATAAAACCAACTGAAAATGGATTCGACTGGCGCGGCGTTCGGGTTGGTCAAGGTATAGCTGAGTAAGGAAAAGCAGTAAGAATGCGGCGTCCTGCAGGATCTCAGTATAGTGAGGAGGAAAAATATATATAAATAAAAGCGACTCGAAATAGAGCAATCAGTAGAGCTAAATAAAATGCTAGGGAAGCAATTGATCAGGACTAAGAGATTCGATTCGGTGAAGGCTTAGAGGAGATAACACTTCAGCTAGCTTGAAAACAGATTTTGAAAGAAAGCTGGTGGGGAATAAGTTGGGTTTTTTGGTTGGGTTTTGTTTTTCTGTTTTTGTTTTTCTTTTTAGAAGGGTCTCACTCTGTCGCCCAGGATGGAGTGCAGTGGTGATCACGGTTCACTTGCAGCCTCAAACTCCTGGACTAAGATGAATCTCCTAATTCACACTCCAGGGTATAGCTGGGACTAGAGGCGCACACCAGCATGCCCAGCTAATTTTTTTTTTTTTTTTTAGATTGAGTCTTCCTCTATTGCCAGACTGGAGTGCAGGTTCAAGCAATTCTCCTGCCTCAGCCTCCCTAGCAGCTGCGACTACAGGTATGTGCCACCACACCCAGCTAATTTTTTTTTTTTTTTTTAAGAGACGGAGTTTCACCTTGTTGGCCAAGTTGGTCTCAAACTCCTGACCTCAGGTGATCCACCCACCTCGGCCTCCCAAAGTGCTGGGATTACAGGTGTGAGCCACTGCGCCCGGCCTATTTTTTTTATTTTTAGCAGAGACGGGGTTTCACTATATTGGCCAGGATGGTCTCAATCTCTTGACCTCGTGATTTGCCCACCTCGGCCTCCAAAAGTGCTGGGATTATGGGCATGAGCCACCGCACCCAACCCAATTTTTTGTAGAGACAGAGTTTGCCATATTGCCCAGGCTGGTCTGGAACTCCCAGACTCAAGTGATCCATCCACCTCGGTCTCCCAGAGTGCAGGGATTACAGATGTGAGCCACTGATTTCAGCTAAGAATTCTGCCCAGCTGTTCAACAGGCACATATTTCTTCACTCTTTGCATGTGCCTAGACCTCAGGAGCTCATAATCTCATGTTTGAGGAAACTGGAACAGGAGGAGGGCAAGAGCAAGTAGTATCGGCTTTACTGTATCAGCACTCCCCGGGGATAGAGACCCCTTTTCAGGCATCTTTAGACTTCCATCCTCCTGGAAGAGTATAGATGGCATGCATTCCTGGTAGCAAAAAAAGTTTAAGAAATATGGCCAGGCCTGGTAATTCATTTCTGTAATCCCAGCACTTTGGGAGGCCAACGTGGATCATTTGAGGCCAGGAGATTGAGACCAGCCTGGGCAACAAAGCAAGACCCTGTCTGTACAGAAAAAAAGTTAGCCTGGCATGGTGGCATGTACTTGTGGTCCTAGCTACTTGGGAGGCTGAGGCTGAAAGATCACCTGAGCCCAGGAGGTCAGGGCTACAGTGAGCTGTGGATGGTGCCACTGCACTACAGCCTGGACAGCAGAGCAGGACCCTGTCTCAAAAAATAAAAAGAATCAAAGAAGTGTCGTAGGAGATATTGGAGAGAGAAGAGGCTGCATGTGGGGTGGGCTTAAATGCCAATTTTCAGATTTGTGCTTTGTTTTTTATGCTGTGAGAGCTATTCTTGAGCAGGACCATAAACTAAACAGGGCAGTGTTAGGAAGATTAATTGGTAGGTAGCTCACAGAATCTCTGAAGGGAGAAGAGAGATCACCCCAGCCCAGTCCCCCTGAGCAAAGGCTTCTGATCTCAAGTGATCCCCCTGCCTTGACCTCCCAAAGTGCCGCGATTAAAAGTGTGAACCACTGCGCTCAGCCTATAGCTGTACCTTTTGAGTACAAGCTCAGTGGAACTTGGAAAGAGATGGGAACAAATCATGTGCTGCCACCTGGTGACAGCTCAAATAACAATTTTCCACATTTCTATTTAATATTTCTGTTGAGGTTGGGTATGTTGGCTCAGGCTGTCATCCCAAATTTTGGGCTCTGGGAGACTGAGGCAGGAAGATCACTTAAGCCCAGGAGTTCGAGACTAGCCTGGGCAAGACGGTGAAACCCTGTCTTTACAAAAAGTACAAAAAATTAGCCGTGCATGGTGGCGCATGCCTGCGGTCCTAGCTACTTGGGAGCCTGAGGTGGGAAGATCGCTTGATCCCAGGAAGTTGAGGCTCCAGTTAGCTGTGATCTCACCACTGCACTCCAGCCTGAGTAACAGAGTGAAAATCTATCTCCAAAAAAAAAAAAAAGTGGACCCACACAGTCCATGTTCCATGTTTTCCAGGTAGTGAAAGGATCAGGATCATTAGTCACAAGGCATTTTTAAATGAAATATAATAAAAAGAAAATATCAGAGTATATCACTCCTGCTAAGGAAAAAATTAAATCATAAAATTTTAGTTTCACTTAATAAATCTAAACACATATTTACTATGTCACAATATAAATTGTATTTCTTTTTTTTTTTTTCTTGAGACTGAGTCTCACTCTGTCACCCAGTCTAGAGCGCAGTGACCTGATCACAGCTCACTTCAACCTTTACCTCCCGGGTTTATGCAATTCTCTGCTTCAGCCTCCCAAGTAGCTGGGATTACAGGCACCTGCCACCATGCTCGACTAATTTTTGTATTTTTGGTAGAGACTGGGTTTCACCATGATAGCCAGGCTGGTTTTGAACGCTTGACCTCGTGATCCACCTGCCTTGGCATCCCAAAGTGCTGGGATTACAGGTGTGAGCCACTATGCCCAGCCAGTAAATTGTATTTCTTACTGTTGTATTTCTTATTTCACAGCCAATTTTTTTTTTTGAGATGGAGTCTTGCTCTGTCACCCAGGCTGGAGTGCAGTGGTGCGATCTCAGCTCACTGCAATCTCTGCCTCCTAGATTCAAGCGATTTTCCTGCCTCAGCCACCAGAATAGCACACGCCACCACGCCCGGCTAATTTTTGTATTTTCAGTAGACACAGGGTTTTGCCATCTTGGCCAGGCTGGTCTTAAACTCCTGATCTCAGGTGATCCGCCCACCTTGGCCTCCCAAAGTGCTGGGATTACAGGCATGAGCAACCGTGCCTGGCCCAAAACATTCTTAAAGCCACTGGATTAAAGGCAGAGACACTGAAAAGAGACCAGGGAAGAGGCTGCTACAGAAATGCAGTCTGGGCTGCTAAGGATGATGTGCGGAAATGCTGGAAAGAGCCTCAAGCAGCAGAAGCTGGGGCCAGGCGTGGAGCTCACACCTGTAATGCCAACACTTTGGAAGGCTGAAGCAGGGGAATCAGTTGAGCCCAGGAGTTCAAGACCAGCCTGGGCACCCCATCCCTACAAAAAATACAAAAAAATTAGCCAGGCATGATGGTGTGTGCCTATAATCCCATATATTATTACTAGGGAGGCTAAGGTAGGAGGATTGCTTTAGCCCAGGAGGGATAGCTGCAGTGAGCCAAAATCATGTTACTGCACTCCAGCGTGGGCGACAGAGTAAGATCTTGTCTCAAAAAAAAAAAAAAGGCAGAAGCTGGAGATGAGGAAAGGTAGCCTCCTACTGTCCAGATCCAGGTCCCACCAGAATATCTCATCCTCCATTGCATCCCCTAGCACTACTGCCCCAGAACAGTATCCTACTTCATTCTACTTACTAGAATGGGAGCTCCCATCTCTTTCCAAGTTCCACTGAGCTTGCACTCAGAAGGTACAACTGTAGGCCAAGCACAGTGGCTCACACCTGTAATCCCAGCACTTTGGGAGGCCAAAGCAGGAGGATCACTTGAGATCACAAGTTTAAGACTAGCTACCCCGTCTCTACTAAAAATATAAAAATTAGCCAGGCATGGTGGCACGTGCCCATAATCCCAGCTACTCAGGAGGCTGAGGCAGGAAAATCGCTTGAACCTGGGAGGCGGAGGTTGCTGCGAGCTGAGATGGCACCACTGCACTCCAGCCTGAGTGACAGAGCAAGACTCCATCTCAACAACAGAAAAAAACAGTACATCTATAAATGTCTATGAACTTGGATTTCAAGAGTAGAGGTATAGAAAGCACTTCAAGAAACAGGAAGATTAACAGGTATAGCTGATTCTATCCCATGTGGTGCTGACTCATAGAAAACACATCAGGGAGGGTTAAATCATTTTATTGCAGTTTGGCGGCAAGGGTGGGCAGGCAGTGAAAAGCCTCAGTAGAGAGGACAGATAATAGCTACATCAAGAGGGGAGAGGCAGGCAGCCCAGAAACAGCTTAGATTGGAGAACATGAATGGAGATCCTGGAAAAGGAAACAGAACCAGAAACAGAGATGATAATGATGTGTCAAGGGAGCCCTTCCAGCACAGAACTGTCCTCCTGCCTGAGACTAGGACTCTGGTCTCCTCCCCACCTTTTTTTTTTTTTTTTTTTGAGACAAAGTGTCACTCTGTCACCCAGGCTGGAGTATATAATGGCATGATCTTGGCTCCACCTCCTGGGTTCAAGTAATTCTCCCACCTCAGCCTCCCGAGTTGCTGGGATTACAGACACCTGCCATCATGCCCAGCCAATTTTTGTAGAGATGGAGTTTTACCATGTTAGGCAAGCTGGTCTTGAACTTTTTTTTTTTTTTTTGAGACAGAGTTTTGCTCTCGTTGCCCAGGCTGGAATGCAATGGTGCGATCTCGGCTCACTGCAACCTGAGCCTCCTGGGTTTAAGTGATTCTCCTGTCTCAGCCTCCCCAGTAGCTGGGATTACAGGCATGTGCCACCACACCAGGGTGATTTTGTATTTTTAGTAGAGATGGGGTTTCTCTATGTTGGTCAGGCTGATCTCGATCTCCCAACCTAGGTGATCCACCCACCTTGGCCTCCCAAAGTGCTGTGATTATAGGCATGAGCTACTGTGACCAGCCAATCTCCTCCCTCTTTAACATCCAAACATATAAAGGTACCTCAGTGACTCCATATCAAGTAAAGAATGCCCTTATGGGCTACAATCCAGATACTCATAATGTCCCTATAAGCCCAAGCCAAATCTAGGATAGCTGAACTTTGGTCCCCAGTGCCTGACCTTTGAGACAAATCCCCTCTACGGGCACAGAGCCCACATTCCCTGACCTGAGGAGATTGTGCTTCCTCCAGGCATCTTGGCCCTCTGTCCTGGCAGCTTCCAGGGTATGACCCTTGCCTTACTGGCCACTTTGCAACTGCTCCAACATCTGTCAGATCATGGGCTCAGGTGGAACCAAATCTTTCCCTCTCTCCCTCCCCATGACTGTCCTCTTCAGCACACTCGGAACCCTCATGTGGGTGAGGACAGTTTCTCATGCAGGGAGCAGAAGGGTTAGAAAGAAGAGCTCTGGAAAGAGAAAGAGTCAGCAGAGGAAGAGAGGGAAGGAGACAGGACAAGAGAAAGTATCCTGGCCTGTATGCAGAACAAGATAAAGAGAGCAAGGAAGGGTCCTCCATAGAGAAATTTGCAGACGAGTCTGATCCTAGTGCTACTTTATAACTGCTGGCCTGAGACTGTCGTCCCTTAGCCAGCTGTTTCAGCAGCAGCTCCTGGTGCTGGCCTGCAGATGAGAAAGAATGTAAGGGGGCTGTTCCCCAACTTCTTTCCTTCTCCCTCCCTGCCTGTGGCCAGCCTGGTGCTGAAAACTGAGACAGAAACATTCTTGCTCAGCTGTTGGGAAGCTTCCAAAGTGACTGAAGAGACTAAACTCAAATCATGAGAGGCAAAGAGTGCAACAAAATACTTGGCCAGACTTCTCAGTAGCTCAGGCAGTTGGAGTCATGGTCACTTAATAGGAGAGCAAGATTTTCCAGGCCGAGTGTGGTGGCTCACACCTATAATTCCAGCACTTTGCAAGGCCAAGGCAGGTAGATCATTTGAGGTCAGGAGTTCGAGACCAGCCTGGCCAAGATGATGGAACCCGTCTCTACTAAAAATACAAAATTAGCCAGGCATGGCGGTGGGCACCTGTAATCCCAGCTACTAGGGAGGCTGAGGCAGGAGAACCGCCTGACCCTGGGAGGTGGAGGTTGCAGAGAGCCAAGATCGCGCCATTGCACTGCAGCCTGGGTAACAAGAGCGAAACTCTGTCTCAAAAAAAAAAAGGAAGAAGAAGGTAAGGTCTTACCTATCACTTAGTCTGCAGCTCCTGAGGAAGGCCATTGGTAGTACTGCACTTTCCTGGTCTTGTTTGCAACTGAACTTGGGCTTGCTTCTACACCTGGCTCAGAAGGCCCATCTCAGCTCCTCCAGGCATTGCTCCAGAAGAGCCTCCCCTTTGGGCCCCCCTGCAGCAATCTTAATGTGATACTATAGTGAAACTAGTTGGGGATCATCCTCTCTAAGAGTTTCAGAAAAGCCTACATACTCTACTTGCAAATCAAGATATATGTACACATATAACATGTGTGTGGCAAAATTGTGTGCATACATATGAAGTTGTGTGTACAAAGAAAAGAACTGGCCAAATACCTTCCAGGACACTGATCTGGTACTTCTGCTGCTCTCGCTCTTCTAGCAGGCCCTGCACTGCCTGCCTTAGTGCCCCAGTCACCTACCCAGGCAGAAAAAAACACATGAGCTACTGTGTAACAGATTTTCCCAACCCCTAGTATCCTCATCTCACACAAACATCACATATACACATTGAGGACTCCAAGCCTCACCTGAGCCTGAGATTGAACCTGGGATCACAGAATAGTAACTTCATCTTAGAGAGAGAGGATAGGCTATAGGACTCAGGCCAATCTCAGCCTGGGGCTGTGGGAGTCTCTAAAGCTCAAAGCTGTTGAGCTTGGACTCCTAACTGCAGAGGCAAGTGATGAGAGGAAATCCAGGTTTCAGACAGGTCCCCTGTTGAGGGAATAAGGAAGGGTTAAGTGCAGGGTCTGTGTGGGGAAACAGAGTTTAGGCGAAAGGACAGGGTGGGAATTTGGAAGGAGTAATGGTAGATACAGGCACTGGAAGAAGGCACAGAAAGAGAAAGGGGATGTAAGTAGAAAGACATTACTTACCTGCGGTGGAGACCCCCAGAGGGATCCGCCGCTATAAAACAGTTGCACGGGCCAATGAGCTCTGAGAGTCCTTTAACCTGCCCACGCAAACTGGGGGCCTCCACTGACCCCTCACCTTAATTTGGGATACATTTCCATCAGTAGCGTTGAGAAGCACACTGAGCTGCTCAAACCGGCTGAGGCTCCTATTCATATCCTGTGGCGGGGAGCGGCAAGGGTCTGGCTCCCTGGTGTCTTGTGCTTGCTCTCCCAGCTGGGAATATCCAATGTACAGCCCAGGAAAAGCCACCACGGTAGATGGAAAGAGGAAAGTGAGGATGCAACATTCGGGATAAGCGGATGAACTATCAGACCAAAACTGTGATTCAGGAATTACAGAAAGGAGGGGAGCTCTTGGGGAACTGGAGGAAAAGCCTGATATTCTGTTGATACGCAGATATCAGGTGGGGCTTGAAGGTGCCAGAACCTGATCGAGACCTCCCCAGAACAAGTACACTGACGCTATCACGCCAAACCTGTGCAAGCAACAACTGCCGCCGCCGGGTTCAAAACTTCGTGTTGGTTTTGAAAGTCCGACTTTGGACTGGCTGCCGCAGGGCCACCTGGGAAACTAAGTTCGCCTCTCGCGAACACAATCGGCGATGGAGGCGGAGGAACTACCTTTCCCTGGAAGAGACTCGTACATGCACACATCCACCGTGAAGCTTGCTGGGAAACTGAGTCCTCCTGATTCCGCGTGGCTGTCTCCAATGATCAAACAAACTACGCATCCCAAGATGCATCGCGCATAGCCAATAATGTCCCGCTACTGGACCCAATGCTATCTGGGAAAGGTAGTCGAAGCTGCCTTAAAACGTAACGGCCCAGTAGTCCTTGAGACTTCATTCCCCAGCAACCTCAGCGTGTAACGTGCGCTATGGAGCCGAAAGTAGCGGAGCTGAAGCAGAAGATCGAGGACACGCTGTGTCCTTTTGGCTTCGAGGTTTACCCCTTCCAGGTTAGTTTATCCCTCCTGCTGTTCTAGGGTCCTGCTGGTCTAGGGCGACATAATTGGCTTCCTTGCAACTGACCTTAGGCCTCGGGAGCCTCTGATCCTCCTGGGTTCCTGTGGCCCGGTGTCCATTTGACGATAGAGAAAGGGTTTCGCTGGGGGCTTGGGTTAAAAAGGTAATGGTCGCGGCCGGGCATGGTGGCTCACGCCTGTAATTCCAGTACTATAGAAGGCCGAGGTGGGCGGATCACCTGAGGTCAGGAGTTCGAGACCAGCCTGGCCACCATGGTAGAACCCTGTCTCTACTAAAAAAATGCAAAATTAGCCGGCCGTGGTGACGCATGCCTGTAATCCCAGCTACTCCGGAGGCTACGGCAGGAGATCGCTTGAACCCAGGAGGCGGAGGTTGCAGTGAGCCGAGATCTCGCCGTGGCACTGCAGCCTGGGCAAAAAGAGTGAAACTGTCTCAAAAACAAAAGTAGTTGTTGCATGTTTGTCATTTTACCTCCATATAATGCTGGATTGGTTAACGGGAGACACCATATGACCTGTAACGTGTGTGGCTCAGATTGTCACCTACATAAATTACAAAAAGAAAGGGACCTGTGAGGCAGAGTCACCTTGGAACTTCCTAAAGGATTTAGGAGAGGGCAAAGCCTAGAAGGTTTGCATAGCTATGATTTAGGTCAGCTGAGGGAAGGCCATTCCTGGTGATGAACAAGCAAACAATTCTCTGGTTTGTTCCCTCTACCAACAGAAGGGTAATTCATGACATTGCCAGTCATCAGTGCTGGGCTGAGTAATGAAACTTTGTGCATTCGCCTAGCACAGCAGTCTCGGCACTGCACCCCCACCCCCATTTACACAGGTACATTTCCCGACATCAGTGCCCTGTGCCCTGAGCAGTGTACTTAAGTTACAAAGCTAAATTAACTCAGTTTGAGCCCTCTGCCTGATGCTTAAGAGACAGCCCACTTCCCATTCCTTCCACTGAGTGGCTCACAGCAGTGCTGAAGGAGGTTATAGAGGGAGAAGAAGGCCGGATCTAGTTTGAGAGCGGTCTTGCCAAAACAAAATGGAATTCAGCTATATATGAAAAGAAAGAATGGAAGGAAGGATCGTTATGTACATTCCAAATACCAGAAAAAGCTTGAGTAAAGGTGTGGAGACAGGGGTGGTGTTACCAAGTAAAAGGGTTTGATGCCTGATGTGTTAAAAGCCAATATTATGACACTGGGTTTTTGAGAAAAGAAAAGCTATTTGTTGCAGATCAACCTTTAACTCTTTGAGACACAGTTGCAGTGGATGGCAGATGTGTGGGAGAGTGAGAAAGTCTATCTGGCAAGTTGAGTAGACCTGAGTATTAGGAGCTTTTGTACTGAACAAAGCCAATTGCAGCCCTGCCAGTCATCCTAGGCTCCTACCTCTCACCTCCCTACTCCCACATCCAGTCAGCCACCAAGACCTACCTATATGACTGTCTACTGAAGCCAGGCACAGTGGCTCACGCCTGTAATCTCAGCACTTTGGGTGGCTGAGGCTGGTGGATCACAAGGTTAAGGGACATGGTGAAACCCTGTCTCTACTAAAAATACAAAAATTAGCTGGGTGTGGTGGCATGCATCTGTAGTCCCAGCTACTGGGGAAGCTGAGGCAGAATTGCTTGAACCCAGGAGGTGGAGGATGCAGTGAGCTGAGATTGCGCCACTACACTCCAGCCTGAGCAACAGAGCGAGACTCTGTCTCAAAAAAAAAAAAAAAAAGACTGTCTAGTGAATCTCCCAAATCCATTCCCTTCTATTCCACCCATCTATACTGTGGCCCAGGACACCATTTCTCACTTGGATTACTCTAATAACCTCCTTGCTGTCATTTTGCCTCCAGTCCATCCTCCACACTGCAGCCAGATTAATCTAAAACTGATCATGCTAATTTACTCCTTAAATCTTCAGTGGCTCTTTTTTTTTTTTTTTGAGCTGGCATTTCGCTGTTGTTACCCAGACTGGAGTGCAATGGCACTTTCTCGGCTCACCGCAACCTCTGCCTTCTGGGTTCAAGCAATTCTCCTGCCTCAGCCTCCTGAGTAGCTGGGACTACAGGCGCGCACCACCATGCCCAGCTAATTTTTGTATTTTTAGTAGAGACGGGGTTTCATCTTGTTGACCAGGATGGTCTCAATCTCTTGACCTTGTGATCCATCTGCCTCGGCCTTCCAAAGTGCTGGGATTATAGGCATGAGCCACTGCGCCTGCCCTAAATCCATATTCTTTAAATTGGTATTCAAAGCCAATCACAATCTTGCTTCTATTGATCTCTCCAGCCTTCTCTCCCTCTGATCCCCTCTAAAGACCCTTCATTTCCACCAAACTAGACAATTTTCAAATATGCTCTGGAATTTTCTGCCAGTGTGTTTGCTTATGCTGTGACCTCTGTTTATTTTATTTATTTATTTAGAGACAAAGTCTCACTCTGTTCCCCAGGCTGGAGTGCAGTGATGCAATCATACCTCACTGCCACCTCAAACTCCTGGACTCAAGAGATCCTCCCACTCAGTCTCCCAAGTAGCTGACTCCAGGCATGCACCAACACGCAGGGCCTCACTTTGTTGCCCTACCTGGTCTTGAACTCCTGGCCTCAAGTGATCCTCCTGTTTTGGCCACCCAAAGCACTGGGATTACACACGAGTCACCGTGCTCAGTCTGTGACTGCTTTTTAAAATACATACCAGTAAGTTTATGTCTTTTTTGGAGAAATATAAATAATAAATAAATGCACACCAGATTCTCTTCCCCATATCAACCTGACAGTTGACTTTCCAGCCTTTAAGACTTAGCATCCAAGAAAGCCTTTTCTAATTTCAGAGGACCCTCATCTGGCCCTGTCATCGCACTAGCCATAGTAGAGTCATTTCTATTGTTCTTAGTGGTTCTGCCTCTCTATTAAAACTCTCTGTAGCCAGGTGCAGTGGCTCATGCCTATAATCCCAGCACTTTAGGAGGCCAAGGCGGGGGATTACTGGAGGTCAGGAGTTCCAGACCAGCCTGGCCAACGTGGTGAAACCCCATCTCTATGAAAAATACAAAATTAGCTGGGTGTGGTGGCGTGCACCTGTAATCTGAGCTACTCAGGAGGCTGAGGCAGAAGTTCCCTGTCATATAATACGTGAACCTGTAGTAGACATGAAGGGGAACAGACCTAACCACAACAGTCACATTTAAGCACTGACACAGATTTCACTTATCTGTTACAGCAGTTAATACCAGTTACAATCAAGTAAGTAATGGTTATCCCACTCTGTCCCATTAATGCACAACCCCCAGGTATCCTGTGTAGATCTGTGTCAAGTGTTCTGCACTATAAGTCAGAAATCCCCAGTAAGTGATGCAGGTATATCCATAGCACTTTGTGTGAACAGCCGCAACCTCCACAACTACGTGATTTAGCAAGTTCATTGCAGGTTATGTTACAGGTCTTTGGTTCAGGCTTCTTGTGACATCTCTTCTCCATGTTTAGTGTGTGAATGTGGGTACAGATAGTGTGTTTCAGTGGAATCCAATTTCTTGGATGTACAGGCCAAGTGGATCAAAGTAAATACTGTGTATCCTAAAACTAAAAACAAAGTTTGCATTAATCACACCTTCGCTTTGCTGATTGGTCAACCTCAAAAACAAGTTTGCTGGCCAGGAACAGTGGCTCCCATCTGTAATCCCAGCACTTTGGGAGGCGGAGACCAGCGGATAACCTGAGATCAGGAGTTCAAGACCACCCTAGCCAACATGATGAAAACCCTCTCTACTAAAAATACAAAAAATGCACCAAGCATGCTGGCAGGCACCTATCATCCCAGCTACTTGGCAGGGTGAGACGGGAGAATCCCTTGAACCCAGGAGGCGGAGGGTGCAGTGAGCCAAGATTGCGCCACTGAACTCCAGCCTGGTGAACAAAAGCAAAATTCCATCTCGGAAAAAAAAACAACCCGCAAAATTGCTAACAGGGATTTTGTAGACTAATATGGTGTTGAGCGTGGTAACAAGAAAGTCTGTCAAAAGTAGGAAAACCCCATCCTGAGCAACACAGGGAGACCCTGTCTCTACAAAAAATTATTATTTTTTTTTTTTGAGACGAAGTTTCGCTCTTGTTACCCAGGCTGGAGTACAATGGTGCGATCTCGGCTCACCGCAACCTCCACCTCCTGGGTTCAGCCAGTTCTTCTGCTTCAGCCTCCTGAGTAGCTGGGATTACAGGCACGCGCCACCATGCCCAGCTAATTTTTTGTATTTTTAGTAGAGACGGGGTTTCACCATGACGACCAGGATGGTCTCGATCTCTGGACCTCGTGATCCACCCGCCTCAGCCTCCCAAAGCGCTGGGATTACAGGCTTGAGCCACCGCGCCCGGCCCTATTATTATTTTTTTGAGACAGAGTTTCACTGTTGTTACCCAGACTGGAGTGCAATGGCATGATCTCGGCTCACTGCAACCTCCACCTTCTGGGTTCAAGCAATTCTCCTGCCTTAGCCTCCCGAGTAGCTGGGACTACAGGCACGCACCACCATGCCCAGCTAATTTTTGTATTTTTAGTAGAGACGGGGTTTCATCTTGTTGACCAGGATGGTCTTGATCTCTTGACCTTGTGATCTACCTGCCTTGGCCTCCCAAAGTGCTGGGATTATAGGCATGAGCCACCACACCCGGCCTATTTTTTTGTTTTAATCAGCTATCCAAGTGTAGTGGCTCACACCTGTGGTCCCAGCCACTCAGGAGGCTGAGGTGGGATGATTGCTTGAGTGCGGGAGGTTGAAGCTGCAGTGAGCTGTGATCACATCACTGCACTCTAGCCTAGGCAACGAAACAAGACTGTCTCAAAAAAAAAGTAAGAAAACCTCTGATGGGCTCAAGTCAGAGGTTAAGTACATTTCTAGCCTCTTTCATAGTGTCAATTTATCATTAACTGATAAAAATGGGGTTTTTTGGCCTGGCACAGAAGCTCACGCCTGTAATTTTAGCACTTTGGGAGGCCAAGGTGGGCAGATCACTTGAGGCCAGCAGTTTAAGACCACCCTGGCCAACATGGTGAAACCTCATCTCTACTAAAAATACAAAAAATTAGCCAGGCCTGGTAGCATATGCCCACAATCCCAGCTACTTGGGAGGCTGAGGCCCAAGAATTGTTTGAACCCAGGAGGCAGAGGTTGCAGTGAGCCAAGATCATGCCACTGCACTCTAGCCCCTGGGCGACAGGGAGACTATATACATTTTTTTAAAAAAGGTTTTGGGTTTGTTTTGTTTTTTTGTTTTTTTTTTTGAGACAGAGCTTCACTGTTGCCCAGGCTGGAATGCAATGGCGTGATCTCAGCTCACTGCAACCTCCGCCTCTCAGGCTCGAGCGATTCTGTTGCCTCAGCCTCCTGAGTAGCTAGTATTATAGGCACCCACCACCATGCCTGAATAATTTTTTGCATTTTTAGTAGAGACAGCGTTTCACCATGTTGACCATGGCTGGTCTCAAACTCCTGACCTCAGGTGATGCGCTCACCTCAGCTTCCCAGAGTGCTGGGATTACAGGTGTGAGCCACCACGCCCAGCCAGGTTTTGTTTTGTTTTTAAAAGACAGGTTCTCGCTCGGTTGCCCAGCCTGGTCTCAAACTCTTGACCTCAAGCAATTCTCCTATTTCTATTCAGCCTCCCAAAGTGCTGGGATTGCAAGCATGAGCCACCATGCCCAGCCTAAAAACAGTATCTTAAGAAACTGCCTGTTCTCTCCAAATTCTCTCTAGAGTTAGGGTTATATAGCCTGGAACTATGATTGTGTCTTTGATCTGTCTATGAAGATGCTTTGGACATAGTTCAAGGTTTTGTTTTTTTGACACAGTCTCCCTCGTCGGCCAGGCTGGGGCTGGAGTGCAGTGGCGAGATCGCAGCTCACTGCAACTTCCACCTCCCAGATTCAAGCAAGTCTCCTGCCTAAGCCTCCCCAGTAGCTGGGATTACAGGGGCACACCACCATGCCTGGCTTTTTTTTTTTTTTAGTAGAGACAGGGTTTCACCATGCTGGCCAGGCTGGTCTGGAAATCCTGACCTCATGATCCACCCACCTCAGCGTCCCAAAGTGCTAGGATTACAGGTGTAAGCCACTGCACCCAGCCCCATCATGTAATCTGCTATAATCCCTTGATCTTCAATGGAGACATAAATTGCTGCCACTGAGTTTCCCCTGGCAACATATCAAAAGGGTAAAGTGCTGGTTGGGAAGGGACTGGTGAAACCACATTGTTTTGTGTCATTTGAAGATGAGTTAGGCTGTGACATAAAAGGCATTGAGGGTTCAGGTGGCTTTCTCCCTCTCAGGCTTGGCCGCAGCAACATGCTTCTCCAGATTAACAATATTCTTCTGAACAACTGTTAAGGCATCATGTTGATTCTGCTTCGAGAAATCTCCAGTCTTGCTTTTGTCTTAGAATGCCTTCAAGGTGTTGGACTTGGAGGGCGAGTGCGTTGCTAGCCACTTTGACTGTTCCTATGCCTTCATGCACCTCAGTCAATTGTGGATTTAGGAACTCTGCTCTGTTGGACCTCGTTCCTGAGTTCTTCATTTTCTTTTTTCTTTTTTTTTTTTAAGATGGAGTCTTACCCTGTTACCCAAGCTGGAATGCAGTGGCACAATCTTGGCTCACCACAACCTCCACCACCCCCTGGGTTGAAACAGTTCTACCTCAGCACCCTGAATAGCTGGGACTATACCATTCCAGACTAGGTATTTTTTGTATTTTTAGTAGTGACAGGGTTTCACTATGTTGGCCAGGCTGGTCTCAAACTCCTGTCCTCATGATCAGCCCACCTTGGCCTCCCAAAGTGCTGGGATTACAGGTGTGAGCCACCACACCCGGCCTCATTTTATTATTCTTTTGAGGCAGGGTCTCACTCTGTCACTCCAGCTGCAGAGCAGTGGCATGATCTTGTCTCAATGGAACCTCTGCCTCTCAGGTTCAAGCAATTCTCCTGCCTCAGCCTCCTGAGTAGCTGGGATTACAGGTGCATGCCACCATACCCGGCTAATTTTTGTACTTTTAGTAGAGGCGGGGTTTCACCATGTTGGCCAGGCTGGTCTCAAACTCCAGATCTCAGGTGATCTGCCCGCCACAGCCTCCCAAAGTGCTGGGATTACAGATGTGAGCCACCATCCCTGGCGGAGTTTTTCATTTTCATTGGTTCATTTGTAGTTGGATGAGGCCTGAATTCTTTGTTGTCAGTCAGTCCATCAATCAATAATTAATTCCCTGGGCCAGGCATGGTGGCTTACACCTATAATCTCAGCATTTTGGGAGGCTGAAACTGGTGGATCTTAGCTAAGGCCAGGAGTTAGAGACCAGCCTGGCCAACATGGCAAAACCCCATCTCTACTAAAAATACAAAAATTAGCCAGGCATGGTGGTACACATCTGTAATCCCAGCTCCTTGGGAGGCTGAGGCAGGAGAATCACTTGAACCTGAGAGGCAGAAGTTGCAGTGAGCCAAGATCATGCCATTGCACTCCAGCCTGGGTGACAGAGCAAGGCTCTGTCTCAAAAAATAATCAATTCCCTGTCAAATTCAGATGGAGTTGCTTATAAAAATATATCACATAGCATCAGTGAAAATTCATTGAATGAATAAGATAGACACTGGGGCAAAAGTATGAGGCCTGAATGTTTGGGCGGGGTAAGGCCCAGACTGGCCCTCTTCAGCCTGGACTGAATTTTCTGTTTCAGGTGGCATGGTACAATGAACTCTTGCCTCCAGCCTTCCACCTACCCCTGTCAGGACCTACCCTGGCCTTCTTGGTACTCAGCACGCCTGCCATGTTTGACCAGGCCCTCAAGCCCTTCTTGCAGAGCTGCCACCTCCAAATGCTGACCGACCCGGTGGACCAGTGTGTGGCCTACCATCTGAGCCGCGTTAGAGAGGTGAGGAAGGCTCAGTTTTCCCCCAGCTCCCAAACCTACAGCTGCCTCCAGTTCCTCCAGGCCCAATGCAGGATCTAGCCTAGGGCTGGAAGCCAGTCAAAGGTGAAATGATACCCTAAAGCCAGGCGTGGCATTCTGTGATATTTCCCATTCTGCTTTCTCACACACCCAGGTTCCACCACCGTCCACCAGCAGCCCCCCAGTGTGCAATCAGTCTCACTCACCCTGCACTGATGGGCAACTATTATGAACCTCAGACCAGGCTTTCCTTGGCCTCCAAGTGGAACAGGAGTCCAACATTCCTGCAAGCTAGACCTGCAAGCTTCATCCTGTCCTTTTGAGGACCGAACAATATTCTCCCAGCACACACTTACATACATATAACTATGTACACACATGTTGGATCTCCCCAAAGCTGGGCCATGTCTTCTGCCACACGGGTACTTGTTATATCCCTTCAAACACAGGCCATTCTGGAAATAACTATAACTATGTCCACATTGGAGCCTCCCAGGTTAAGGTCTTGTTTTCTCATTTGAAAACAGTACCATATTGACACACAAAGGCTCCATAGGATAAGGTCATAACTTGTCTCATGCTAACAGTAGCCTCTAACTTGTCTACTATTCCAGAGCCTCCCAGAGCTACAGATAGAAGTCATTGCTGACTATGAGGTACACCCCAACCGACGCCCCAAGATCCTGGCTCAGACAGCAGCCCATGTAGCAGGAGCTGCTTACTACTACCAACGAAAAGATGTGGAGGCTGACCCGTGGGGAAACCAGGTAAGAGGGAAAATGTAAATTAATAGAGGCTGAGACTGGTAAAGGCCTATCCCTACCAGGTCCCACATTCCTCAGCCTTCCCTGGATGGATTTGTTTGATACAACTCAGAACAAATAAGCTGTGTCCTGTCCAGGGGGCAGTCCTGTCACATGCTTTCTGTTGTCTAACTGGGGACTTGTGAGGTGAGAAAACCTGGTCTGCAGAACTGTCTTAGGATAGAGGGAGAATAGCAGTGTTCAGACTAGTGAGACTGGGAAGCCTAGCCCTTCCTTGTGCCCAGCGTAGTTTATGAAAGGGTTTGCCAAGAGAGAGACAGAGGTTTACATAGAGTCAGTGTACAGAGTGGGGAAATAAGCGAACAGGCCTAGCTTGCAGTGATAGCAGTTGGACTTGAGGACTTCCATGACCTTGATTTTCTTCACCCTCTCCCCAGCACATATCAGGTGTGTGCATACACCCCCGATTTGGAGGCTGGTTTGCCATCCGAGGGGTTGTGCTGCTGCCAGGGATAGAGGTACCAGATCTGCCACTCAGAAAACCTCATGACTGTGTACCTACAAGAGCTGACCGTATCGCCCTACTCGAAGGCTTCAATTTCCACTGGCGTGACTGGACTTACCGGGATGCTGTGACACCCCAGGAGCGCTACTCAGAAGAGCAGAAGGCTTACTTCTCCACTCCGCCTGCCCAACGATTGGCCCTACTGGGCTTGGCTCAGCCCTTGGAGGAGCCTAGTTCTCCACCCCCGGACTTTCCCTTTACCATCCATACCCCCAAGACGCCTGGGAATCCCAGCAGAGCCCGGAGCTGGCTTAGCCCTAGGGTCTCACCACCTGCATCCCCTGGTCCTTGACAGCCTTCTCCCATGTGGACTGATTTACGGTGGTACCTGCTAGGACTTAATTGGCTTTGGCAAAGCAAAGGTTTTGAGTATAAGATTACTACTTTCCATGTATGTTCCATGAAGATAACAAGCTCAACGAAATTAAGTTTGGCCAAGATTAAGGCCAGGGAAGATCCAGAATTCCCATCTGCCTTTGGCTCACGCCTATAATCCCAGCACTTTGGGAGGCTGAGGTGGGTGGATCACAGGTCAGGAATTTGACACTAGCCTGGCCAACATGATGAAACCCTGCCTCTACTAAAACTATAAAAAGTTAGCCAGGCATGGTGGTGCAAGCCTGTAGAACCAGCTTCTCGGTCAGCTGAGGCAAGAGAATTGCTTGCACCTGGGAAGCAGAGGTTGCAGTGAGCCGACATTGCACCACTGCACTCAAGCCTGGGTGAAAGTGTGAGACTCTCTCCAAAAAGAAAAAAAACAGTGCCTATTTCATATGGAGACTAAATAAACACGTAAAGCACTTTGGAAAAGCACCTGAGATCGCTTCTCAGCCTTTTGGCTAAGATTAAGTGTAGTATCTGTTCTTATCAGTTTGATTTATATAAAAAAAAAAAAGTATCTGGTATGTCAGCTATTACCAAAGGCCTGGGAATTCTGTACTGCTGCTCATAGTGTAGTCTGGGTTCTAGAGGAGGGGACAGATTGGAGTAGCTGATGAAGACAAGTGGCTGGAATAGCACCATATGATACACAGAAGTCTCCTCAGTTCTGAATCTACCCTGGCCTCAAGGGCCCAAGAGAATAACTTTTCCCAGCTGACAACCTCTGAGGAAAATGACATTATGAATGAGGATCAAAACTGACTTTCTTTGGCCAGGCACTGTGGCTTTCACCTGTAATCCCACCACTTTGGGAGGCTGAGATAGAAGATCATTTGAGGCCAGGAGTTCAGAACCAGTCTGGGAAACAGTGACACTGAAAAAGACTATCTCTAATCATGGCTAGAACCCAGGAAAGGCTAAGAATTGCCTAGTACTATATACAAGTATTACCGAAAGCCCTACCCAAGACCACAAGCCCTTTCTGTCTTCCTCTTTCCTCCATCAGTTCAATAGGAACAGAAACCTCCAACTCTTTTTTGAGACGGAGTCTGGCTCTGTCACCAGGCTGGAATACAGTGGCAAGATCTCAGCTCACTGCAACCTCCACCTCCCGAGTTCAAGTGATCTTCCTGCCTCAGCCTCCTGAGTAGTTGGGACTATAGGCACACACCACAATGCCCACCGCATTTTTTTGTATTTTTAGTAGAGAGGTTTTCAACTATGTTGGCCAGGATGATCTCAATCTCTTGACCTCGTGATCTGCCCACCTCAGCCTCCCAAAGTGTTGGAATTACAAGAATGAACCACTGTGCCCAGCCTCCATTTTATACAAAGCAGGTACCAGGCATTTATCAGAAGAGGTCAAGATTCTGGTTCCCATGCAGCCCTTTGAATAGTGTGTTCAAGTAAAAACAGGTGACCAAGTAATCACATTGAGACTTAACTGGCAACCTAGCCTGTAGCATTAAGTCGCAGTGGTCCCGCCAACACTACAGCAGGGCTTATTCTTCTCCCTCACGTGCAGTGAAACTAAATGTAACACTGCAGGTTCACTCGGTTCCATTCCCTTTGTCTACCTGTGTCAATATTATTCCCTGATTCTTAGGCAGCTCTCCTCATTTTCCCCTAAAGAGGAAAAGCAAAGAGAAAATTCCTCTTAAAATCAAAGGCTACTAATATGTCTCCTAAAATAGAGACTCATCAAGGTCTCAGTTCAAGTTTAATACAAACTACAAAAGATCAATGGGTTGATGCCCTCTATTGATACATCATACAAATCAATGGCCTGCCCACAACACAACTCCGGCCATTCCTATTGTAGGAAGAAAGGCTGGTCTCTCCACTCTCTGTAGGAAAGGCCTCCCTTGTAACACACCACAATTCAGCTGAATCTGAAGTCTTGTGTTTTACTCATGGGGGAGAAAAAAAATACAAAAGGGGTTTTGTTCTCATGGCTGCCCACTGCAAGCCTGGCATAAACAGCCCGCTCACTTCTGTTTGCAGAAATATTCTTTGCTCTTTTGGACATCAGGCTTGATGGTATCACTGCCAGGTTTCCAGCCAGCTGGGCACACTGCAAGAGAAAGGTACCACTAATTAACCTCCTCAGTGGTGTGCACCATCCTCCTATGGACAAAACCAGTTCTGCACCCTAAAGGGCCTTTAGAAAGGCCAGAAACATTTAGAAACCAGGAAACCTACCCCTGCAATCAGTCTAAGATCATTCAGCCTTTTAGTGTAAGCTAACCATTTTACAAACATGATGTAATTTAATCACCATAACCTTAAGATGGTATTATTCCTAATTTATTCATGCAGCACTTGAAATTTAAATGTTCCATCAAAAAGGCAAAGTTTAAATAATTTGTCAACATTCCTCAATCCTTAAGGGGGAAAAAAAAAGCTAAATAAATGACACACATAGGACTATGTAAACCCTTAGCACTAAACTTGTTTCCTTCTGACAGCCCTTTAGAGCTCTGAAGGCAACAACTTCAGTTTGCCTTCTCAGCATTCTTTTTTTTTCTGAGGCAGAATTTTACTCTTGTTGCCCCCAGGCTGGAGTGCAATGGCACAATCTCGGCTCACTGCAACCTCCTTCTCCCAAGTTCAAGCAATTCTCCTGCCTTAGCCTCCCAAATAGCTGGGTTTACAGGCACCCCACCACAATACCCAGCTAATTTTTGTATTTTTAGTAAAGACAAGGTTTCACCATGTTGGCCAGGCTAGCCTCCTGACCTCAGGTGATCCACCCGCCTCAGCCTCCCAAAGTGCTGGGATTAATGGCGTGAGCCATCAAACCTGGCCCGATTTTTCCACTGCCATGTGCTGTCATATTCTAGGAGACATGCAGTCACCAAAGTACAGTAGAAACAGCAAGTGCCTCAACTGCTTGAGTGAGAAATGGGGAAGCCCATTTTTGGTCCAAGGATATCATAACCTCAGATGTCAAGACTCTACAAAAAGAAGACTATAAACAGCTCTCTAGGCACAAAGTATAGATGGAACAAGAGCTAAAGAGAAGGACCAGCTGCCATTATTTTTCTAAAATCTCCATCTGATTGTTAGTTATTGGCTACAGTAATATCAAAGGGTCCTAAAGATAAACAAGTTGCAGAGAACAAAGAACAGCATAAAAGCAAAGACTAGGCCAGGCCAGAGCCAGCTAGTGGTTTGCCAATAGGTATAAAGGGACTAAAAAAATTCCTCTGTCCAGGATGAAACTGGGCTTTACAGGTAAGATGAATAATAAGATAAGAAAGATAAGAAAGGACCTTGCCAACTCAGTTTCCTGACACTAAGGCCTCATGGGTCTTAGAATCATACTTGTATTAGTGACAGATCCCCAGTTAAATGTTTCACTCATACCCAACAGTGGTGGATTATTTTAAAATAATGGCAGCTGATGCACTTCAAGTTCATCTAAAGTGCCATGACTCTCCAAAGAAAAAATTAGTCACATTTACCCCAGTACTTAAGACCCTAAACAATGTCTTTCTGTGACATGGTAAAAGCCCCATAAAACTGCATATCTCAACCATACCTCAGCTTTCTGTTGAAACTGCTCTCTATAACCCAAATGTGAATAAGTAATTAAGGACTGTAATTTCCACCCTACCCAGACAATGTGTAAACAAATGCTAATCTTGACTTTTGTGAACCACTTAAGTTTAACAATCAGAACCCTCATCTTCATTCAGGAATCCACTGGAATGTCTGAAGCCCCTCACCCTCATCTCCGCCCAGGAGGTGATTTACAGAATCCACTAGCCCTCAGAACGTCTGAAGCCCCTCACCCCCACCCCCACCCCCACCCCTGCCCCTCACCCTCACTCCTCCCAGGTGGTTTTCCAGGGATAAAAGGTCTTACCCTCCTTTAGGGGCCACGGGTTGGAGAGACACCCATGAGTCCTCCGTGGCCGCTGGCAGTAAAGACCCTGCAATTTGGCATACTTTTGTCTTGGTGTTGACTTTCTATGCTCGGGCCAGTATATTTTTTCAGCATTTTAATTACCAAGAGGCAGGCTTTGAATGTGGATCCCAGTTCCACCATTTACTATGAATAAATGGTGTGTTTTAAATATTGGTTTATTGGTCCTACTTAACATACTTGTTTGTCAAAAATAACACATATTAAGTATACGTAAAAATAGTGTTTGGCAGCTGGGCACAGTGGTTCACACCTATAATCCCAGCACTTTGGGAGGCCAAGGCGGGAGGATTGCTTATGCTCAGCAGTTTAAGACCAGCCTGGCCAACATAGCAAAATCCCATCTCTACAAAATATACAAAAACTACCAGTCCTAGCTACTCAGGAGGCTGAGGGAAAAGAATTGCTTGAACCCAAGAGGTGAAGGTTGCAGTGAGCCGAGATCACACCACTGCATTCCAGTCTGAGCGACAAAACAAGATTCTGTCTCAAAAAAGAAATAGTGTTTGGCATTCATAGGCTCTTAAATGGTGCCTATTTAAAAGGCTGTACATGTTCCAGTGGGATGGGAAGCAGCAGAAACCAAGAGTGTGAAGAAGCAAGCTTCAGAGTCATGAAAGCTTGGATTCAGAAGACTAACCTAGGAAAGTCCAGTTAAAGGGCCTACCTTTGCCATTTCCTGCTCCTTAATGCTGAACCTCATCCCCACCAGGGGGCAATCTCAGCAGGTGTCAACTGAGCAACGTGTTATCTGGCCAGGCTAATTGCCCAGACATCCTTCTGCAATGGGTACTTCCTGGTTATCAGTGCTCACTGATCCATATATGTTTGGGAAGTCCCAAAGGTAGCACCAAGTACTCTAAGAATCGCTTCAACTCAGGAGGCGGAGGTTGCAGTGAGCCAAGATTGCGCCACTGCACTCCAGCCTGGGCAACAGAGCAAGACTCTATCTCACAAAAAATAAATACAAACAAATATGAAAACAAACTATATGGATTAACCTCTTCTCTCAATAAAGTTATTTTTTAAATGGCACACTTTCTCTCTAGATATGATTCCCAACCATCTTGTTTTGCCCTAATACATCTGTTGAGATCCTCCTACATTCAGTAAATTACATCTTTAGCAGTGACTGATTCTAAATGAGCAGGGCAGAAGAGAAGAGTATATATATATAGTTTGAATAAAAAGGCTTTATAGTCTCCTTCCCAAGCTTTTCCATTACCTTCACAATACGCTTCAAGTATTTCTTGAAGAGAAATACTTACCCCCCTTTTCTTATTTGATAGCTGTCCTACCATCTTTCCCATTCTACCACGACTCTGTTGTCCTGTTATCAAGCAGATGGCTTACCTTCCCCATGTTTGTCAGTGAACTGGAAGGCCTGAACTAGTCTCAAAGTCTCATCCACAGAGCGGCCAACAGGGAGGTCATTTACAGTGATCTGCCGAAGAACACCCTTATCATCAATGATAAAGAGGCCCCTGGAAAAAGAGATTAAAGGAAAAGCAATGTGCTTTTGTTAAAAAACAGAAGCTTTAAGACTTAAGAAAATGAACTGGTCTCCACACGTGTACTGGCCTGGCCCTTAGTGAGGAGGCCCCTGCATAAAGGAATGAAATGATGAAGGAGTCTACAAGATCAGGGCTCTAGACTTCTCCAAATACAAGGCTTTCAGCCACTGGATACTTGTCCTGATGACATACCTGAATGAGATGCCTTCATCTGCCTTTAAGACCCCATAATCCTGAGCAATGGTGCGCTTCGGGTCTGATATCAAAGGAATGTTCATGGGTCCCAGTCCTCCTTGTTTCTTAGGTGTGTTGATCCTATGGCAAAAGGCAAACATACAGTTATATTCATTCAAACTCTTGCCTTAACTGTACCTATTCCTCTTTCCTCTTTCCCATATTCCTAATCTAACTTTCCCAAAAAAACTTTGTTTTTTCCTTTTCCAGCAATAAAGTGAATGCTGAGAACAGTTAAGGTAGGTCACTAGGGTACACTCTACTTGCAACTAAAGTGGCTTCTCCTCTATTGCCAGGTCATGGGAGCAATAAGACAAAGTCAGACTTTGCACTCCTTTCCATGAGAAGCCAGTACTTGAAAGTCTACTGCCAAAGAATCCCAGTGCTGTTTAAAAAGTTCATATGCCAAATGGACTAAGAGATTTACCATGCCAGGTGACAGAAGTGAGAATCCACAGAAGCACCAATCACTTGGCAGTTGAGTTTCTTAAATTCTTCTGCCCTATCACTGAAAGCAATGATCTCCGTGGGGCACACAAAGGTGAAGTCAAGAGGGTAAAAGAAGAACACAACATATTTTCCTGAGGGAAAAGTAGGAGTCATAGGTTAGCATTTGTAACAGACTTCCTTGCTTTATATTTTTTCCCTATTAACCACTAAATGCCAAGATGCTCAATATGGATGTCCTCCTAAGTAGCTACTTTTAGAACCTACTGCAGTAGGGCGGGGAGCGGTGGCTCACGCCTATAATCCCAGCACTTTGGAAGGCTGGGGAGGGTGGATCACGAGGTCAAGAGATCAAGACCATCCTGGTCAACAAGGTGAAACCCCGTCTCTACTAAAAATACAAAAAGTAGCTGGGCATGGTGGTGGGCACGTATAGTCCCAGCTACTCGGGAGGCTGAGGCAGGAGAATTGCTTGAACCCAGGAGGCGGAGGTTGCGGTGAGCCGAGATCGCGCCATTGCACTCCAGCCTGGGTAACAACAGTGAAACTCCGTCTCAAAAAAAAAAAAAAAGAACCTACTGCAGTAGGAAGATCTGAATGAAAAAAAGTTCCTTCCAATCCAATTACTTATTTGCCTGCCTCCATGTTCTTAGCTGCCAACTACAAAATAAACACTAATTTTGATCTTTTCTGAGGGGTTAAAATAAGCATAAACACCAAGTTCTCCAAAGAAGACAGCAAAAGCAAGGACACAATTATCTACTGCATGGCCTAATGCCAATGCTTAACAAACAGTGCCCAGAAAAAGCTGAACTGCAGAGCTCCTCTCCTGTAGAGATAAAAGACCAATAAGAGGCTGGGCACAGTGGCTAACACCTGTAATCCCAGCACTTTGGGAGGCCTAGGCGGGTGGATCACGAGGTCAAGAGATCGAGACCATCCTGGTCAACAAGGTGAAACCCCGTCTCTACTAAAAATACAAAAATTAGCTGGGCACAGTGGCACGTGCCTTTAATCCCAGCTACTCAGAAGGCTGAGGCAGGAGAATTGCCTGAACCCAGGAGTTGGAGGTTGCGGTGAGCCGAGATCGCGCCATTGCACTCCAGTCTGGGTAACAAGAGCGAAACTCCATCTCAAAAAAAAAAAAAAGACCAATAAGAAGTCAGAGCCTTTGCACTTCTCTCACGATGAACTATAGTAATGGAACAAGTATGGTTTAAGTAATCATATGTGTGTTCCTACTCTGCCTGACAAGACAGGAAAAATTTTAAACTAGGCACAGTGGTGTGTGCCTATAGTCCCAGCTACTCAGGAGGCTCAGGTGGGAGGATCCCTTGAGCCACGAGTTTGAGGCCAGTCTGGGCAACATAGCAAGACTGTCTCAAAACAAAAATACAGCCGGGCACGGTGGCTCAAGCCTGTAATCCCAGCACTTTGGGAGGCCGAGGCGGGTGGATCATGAGGTCAACAGATCGAGACCATCTTGGTCAACATGGTGAAACCCCGTCTCTACTAAAATTACAAAAAATTAGCTGGGCACGGTGGTGCATGCCTGTAATCCCAGCTGCTCGGGAGGCTGAGGCAGGAGAATTGCCTGAACCCAGGAGGCGGAGATTGCAGTGAGCCGAGATCGCGCCATTGCACTCCAGCCTGGGTAGCAAGAGCGAAACTCCGTCTCAAAAAAAAAAAAAAAAAAAATACATAGACATAAACACACACAGAAAAGACAAAAGTATTAGTGAGTAACAGAACCTCTAGCTGCAATTTTAATGAAGTCACTCAGATTAACCATTGAAATAGCTCTTCGAACTGGCCAGGCAGCCTTCTAGCCACAACCAACAGGCCTAAATACTTAAACAATTCCAAACATTCCCTCATTTCCAGGGAGCAGCAATGTTTGAAAGTCAGACAGGCTGGGTGTGGTGGCTAAGTCTGGCATGGTGGCTCATGCCTGTAATCCTATCACTTTGGGAGGCTGTCAGGTGGATCACCTGAGGTCAAGAGTTCAAGACCAGCCTCACCAACATGGTGAAACTAGTCTATTAAAAATACAAAACTTAGGGCTGGGCGCGGTGGCCCAAGCCTGTAATCCCAGCACTTTGGGAGGCCAAGGCAGGTGGATCACGAGGTCAAGAGATCAAGACCATCCTGGTCAACATGGTGAAACCCCGTCTCTACTAAAAATACAAAAAATTAGCTGGACATGGTGGCACATGCCTGTAATCCCAGCTACTCAGGAGGCTGAGGCAGGAGAATTGCCTGAACCCAGGAGGCAGAGGTTGTGGTGAGCTGAGATGGCGCCATTGCACTCCAGCCTGGGTAACAAGAGCGAAACTGTCAAAAAAAAAAAAAAAAAAAAAAACTAAGGAGGCTGGGCAATGTGGCTCAGGTGCTGTCATCCCAGCACTTTTGGACGCCGGGCAATGTGGCTCAGGTGCTGTCATCCCAGCACTTTTGGAGGCCAAGATGGGAGGATTGCTTGAGGTTAGGAGTTCAAGACCAGCCAAGATCACACCACTGTACTATAGGCTGTGCCACAAGAGCAAAATTCCATCTCAAAAAAGTCAAGTCAAACAAGCAGCCCTTTTTGACATTTACCATTGTGCAGTATCACTGGAACCTAACTCATCTAAACAACTCCTCAGGGCTTTGCCTAACAAGCACCATGGGGCCTCAGCAGGTCAAGCCCTGAAGGGCAGAAAGCAGCTCCTCCTAGACTTCCTGCTTATACTCCTGGGCCAAGGTCACCTCTCTATGGTACAACTTAATCTTCTTTGCCAGGAAAAGCCCCAACAACTAAGTGTGATTATGTTCAGGAAAAATAGTCAAATGCTCTTACCAAAAGCGAACTCCAGAACCTGATGCTACACCACTGAGAAAAGGACACTTTACACCTGAGTTTCAGGTTTGCATTCTAAGGAATCTATATCCTCAACTGTCCCAGGAGATCCAGCTGCTCTGGAACTACAAGACAAACGGAGAGCCTCAACAGAACTTGCCAAGTGTCTGCATGAAACTATGACAACAGAAAGAAGAGTTGTTCCATCTATAACATCAACTCTCCTCTGGGGTCAAAACAGTCAAGGCAAAGTGCCCAGCCCTCAGTCTAATATTAACAGCTGTGATATATATGTGACCCAAACAAGCTTTACAAGCAGTGTCACAGCTCCAAAGATTTGAGTGAGCTTTAAGACTTTAAATGTAGAATATCTCTTATAATGAGATAATGAGAATTTCTCCAATAATAAAACAGAGGAGAGTGGAATGCAGTGGCTCACTCCTGTAATCCCAGCACTTTGAAAGACTAGGGCAGGCAGAGGGCCTGAGCCCAGGAGGTGGAGACCAGCCTGGGCAACATGATGCCCATCTCTACAAAAAATGCAAAAACTAGCCGGGCGTGGTGGTATGCCCCTACAGTCCCAGCTATGCAAGAGGCTAAGGTGGGAGGATCAGCTGAGCCCAGAGAGGCAGAGGCCTCAGTGAGCCATGACTGCTACACTGCACTCCAGCCTGGGGGTGATGCAATGAAACCCTGTCTCAAAAATTAAAATAAAATAAATAAAAAGACAAGGAATACTCAAGAGAAAACTGAACTAGTATGTCCAAACATAATGGAGCATGTGGTTTCTCCAGAAGTGGTCTGGTCCTAGGATATATACACTGTAATCACTTGATTAATCACCACTTCACTTCAACATGAAGGCAACAACCAAAATACTTATTCCTAGGAGACAAAACATTTTACAGTCAAACACAACACTGACACAGATCTAACATGCCATTTCTAGAATATAAAATAACTCCATCTCAATGAGCCCAGTGTAATTACTTTTACCTTTGTAGTCCGACAGGCTGATATCTTTAAACTGACCATCTGGCATAACAGCTGTGGCTTTGAAGTTGGGGGCAGGGTGCCCAATTTTAGCATTTCCTGAAGACATCTTCCTATCAGCTGGAAAAGAGAAATGAATTAGAAACAAGCCTTAATTTTCTAGATAACCGGCAGCCTGCACCTACTAAGAGACTTAGCTGTAGAACAATCAAGGAATTGTCCAGTATGTCCCTGAATACGTTAAATGTTGTATTAGTAAGAAGCTCAAGCAATCTGAGCTTTCCAACTTGTGGAACAAAACAAGACTCTGAATCTCGGCCTTTGTTTTCATTTAAAAACAGCAAGGCAATTTCTTCATATACTGAAGTCACCTCTCACTCTTTCTGAATCATGATTTGTGCAGGCATCTTACTCATTATACAGAAGCAGAGATGGAGCAGGTGAAGACTCTCAAACCAGAATCCAAATGCACAATGCCACAAACGCTTTTGTTTGGCCTGGAAAAAATCATGTTGACCTTTCCCATTACTGGGCCTCCACCAGCCTTCATAACGTCAGAAGCATATTTGACTTTTCTCCAGGTAGCTGTGTCTAAAACAGCACACACCTACAGCCAATACAACTTTTTTTTTGAGACGTAGTTTCGCTCTTGTTGCCCAGGCTGGAATGCAATGACACAATCTCGGCTCACGGCAACCTCTGCCCTCCAGGGTACAAGCGTTTCTCCTGCCTCAGACTCCTGAGTGGCTGAGATTACAGGCATGCGCCACCACAACCGGCTAATTTTTTTGTATTTTTAGTAGAGACAGGGTTTCTCCATGTTGCTCAGGCTGGTCTCGAACTCCCAACCTCAAGTGATCCACTCGCATCGGCCTCCCAAAGTGCTGGGATTACAGAAGCGAGCCACCGCGAGGGTAAGCCAAGATCGCGCCACTACAGTTCAGTCTAGGCGACAGAGCAACACACCATCTCAAAAGAAAAGAAAGAAAAACACAAAGAAAAAAGAGACAAGACCAAGATATTGGCATCTGCTCAATTTCAAATCTTTAGGTATTGTGTACACCCGAGAAGTCCCTTCACAAACGGGTTTCTGACTTCGGGTCTAATATCACAGGACGAAAATAAGAACAAGAACAAATTTACTGCTGAAAAGAAATGTTGCGCTGGATTCACCCAGGTCAACACCAAGATGAGTATCGAGATCTTGGCCGGGAGCCCCGTCTCAAGCCTGTAATCCTGGCTACTCGGGAGGCTCGGGCAGGAGAATCGCTTGAACCCGGGAGGCGGAGGTTGCACTGAGCCGAGATCGCACCACTGCACTCCAGCCTGGCTGACAGAGCGAAATTCCGTCTCAAAAAAAGAAAAAAAAAAAAAAAAAACCAGAGATTTAACCCACTAAGCCTCGGTCTCAAAGTTTTCTCAAAGTCCCAAAGTTCTTGGTTCATAATACCACAACCAAAAGAAACTCTGTGAGCAAGGATCTTAGCCAACTTTTTACTGCTTTTTTAAAAGTCGCCTAAAAAAAAAAAAAAGTCCTTAAAACCTTTAACGACAAAACACAAAAACAAAAAACTAAGGCATACTGCAACTTGGTGACCCTATAAATGGCCTCTTGTCCAAACCTACATTCCCAGTTGGCCCGAAAGTCCAAAACCCAACCAATTCTGGGTAAAGGCTGCTGGGTTTTCGGGCGGCGCCGGGTCCCTTCAGGGGATCTGCTCAGTGCCGAGGGCCACACCCCTAAACTCCAGGTACCCGGCTCTATCACACCCAACACAGGGAAAGCACCAGCAGAAAGAGTGCTTCAGCGGGGGCATTTGGGCTCTTAATTCCATTCCACGTACAAGAAAATAAAGATGGGGAAAGTACCCGAAACTCCGAATCTAGTCAAGGCTCAGGACCCGGAACAGCCTTTACCCTATCACAAGATAGACAAGTATAGGCTGTTTTCTACAGCCACTAGTCCGGACACAGGTCCATTCCAGAACCTTCCCGAACCCACCCAGCCCAGCAGGAAGCTAGAGTTAGAGACCCCACCACCAGCCCGCCCCGATGCCGCTTCACGTGCTCGGGTTGCCGGGGTAAGACTCGACTAGCATCCACGCTAGACTTGGGATTCAACCAGGTGCCCCCACCTACGCGGGGGGGCCACGTGAGGGGTGCACGTAGCGCTCAGGCAGTCTCGGGCGCCGGGCCTCCCCCCGCTCCCTCAAGCACCACAGAACCCCAAGCCGAGCGCAGACGGGCCCCGGACAGGAGGAGGAAGAGGCAAAAGGCAAGTACGCGCCGCACCTCGCTCAGCTAAGGCCGCGCCGCTCACACTCACCAGTCCTGACACAAGCCTCAGAGAACAAACCACCGGACAGAAAGAGGACGCGCAAAACTCGCTCGAGGCGCAGCCTTTATAGCTATTACGGCTCTCGCGAGAGTCGAAGCAGGCCGGGGGTGCAGGAGGAGGAGAGAGGGGAGGGGGATGTGGCAGGAACCCCGCCCCACCCTGGCGCGCCCCGCCAGAATGACTCGGCGCTTTCCCTCTTGGGGGCGGGCGCGGAAATGCTAATCCCCCTCCCTACTGCGGACTGCAGAGGTTGGAGTGAGGCACCCTTGTGGCCGCTCCCAAACCCAAACGTTTAGGTTGATCCTAGATCTCTGCGGAAAACCAGGATTCTCTTTACTTCCAGGACCACTGCGCACTGTACCCTCAATGCCCAACCCGGAGTAAGCCTCCTAGCTGCTGCCCACGGAGGACCACGTCGAACCATACCAAGCCCTGAGAACTGTATATCCAAATATTTCTTAAATTCGCAACCTTAACCCCACCTCAGATCCTGAGTAACTCCTGAGTAACCCTCATAGCTTACATCGTTTCCTTCACTGTTCACTTTGATTACAGGGTTGCTGCTTTCTGTTGTAAAGGAAAATAAAGTCTGAGGACACTTAAACTTGTGAAAGTTCAGCTTGGGAGGCTGACTCAGGTACACAACCATCCTCTCTACGGATGAATAACTGACTTTACAATCTTGGGTCAAAACATCACACATTAGCCATCCATCACACACGGTTAGGCAAAAGGCCTCAGACATTTCCTGATGACTACCCCCGACAAACACACTCACAAAATCATTCATAATTGTTTGCTACCCTGGAAACCGTTATAGCCTCCCATAAAACAAGGACGTGTCAACTGTAACTAGATCTTCAATCTAAAGTCTAGTTCCTAAAACTAAAGTTTGTTCTATTACGCTTTTTTTTTTTTTTTTTTTTTTGAGACGGAGTCTCACTCACTTTGTCTCCCAGGCTGCAGTGCAGTGACCGGGTGTTGGCTTACTGCAACCTCCGCATGCCAGGCTCAAGCGATTCTTCCGCCTAGCCTCCGGAGTAGCTGAAACTACAGGCACCCGTCACCACGCCCAGCTAATTTTTGGTATTTTTAGAAGAGATGGAATTTTACCTTGTTGGATACGCTGGTTTCCAAAGCCTGGTCTCCAACAGCTCGCCTTAGCCTCCCAAAGTGCTGGAATTAAAGGCGTGAGCCACCGCAGCTGGCCTCCATTCCAGAAATTCCATAAATGTTGACTACTAGATAATCTTTTCAGGTGCAGATTCCCTCACCCCTCCCTGAGTCCACCACATGTTTTTTTTCCTGTATTCCCTTTTTCCTCAAACGTTCACCTTAACTTTTTCTGAGACAGAGTTTCGGTCTTGTTACCCAGGCTGGACTGCAATGGCACAATCTCGGCTCACCGTAACCTCCGCCTCCTGGGTTCAAGCAATTCTCCTGCCTCAGCCTCCCGAGTAGCTGGGAATACAGGCGCGCACCACCATGCCCAGCTAATTTTTGTATTTTTAGTAGAAACGGGGTTTGACCATGTTGACCAGGATGGTCTCAATCTCTTGACCTCGTGATCCACCCGCCTCAGCCTCCCAAAGTGCTGGGATTATAGGCTTGAGCCACCGTGCCTGGCCCGTTCACCTTATCTTATGTAAAAATGTAGATTTGCTTAGAATTAGCTAAAGTCTTCGTCTCACTCCCACCCCCACTTTTCAAGGAAAATGTATAAATACTAAAAACCTCCTGAGAACCACTTGGGAAGAAACAGTCACAGAAGTGTCTCTGACGTAGTTTAGTCAGTTTAGTCATTCATTTCAATTAATGCTCTCTCTTCTCCATCCCTTCCACTGCAGCTAAAGGAAATCCTTCTGAAATTTGATCATGTCACTTTTATTTGTGGTTTAAAAGCTGGGGATAAGGGCCAGGCGCGGTGGCTCACTCTTGTAATCCCAGCACTTTGGGAGGCCTGAGGCAAGCGGATTACTGAGATCAGGAGTTCGAGACCAGCCTGGCCAACGTGGTGAAACCCTGTCTCTACAAACCAAAAATTAGCTGGGCATGATGGTGGGTGCCTGTAATCCCAGCTAATCAGGAGGCTGAAGCAAAAGAATCACTTGAACCTGGGAAGCAGAGGTTGCAGTGAGCCCAGATCACACCACTGCACTCCAGCCTGGGCAACAGAGTGAGACTCTGTCTCAAATAAATAAATAAATAAATAAAAGCTGGGGCTCTGTAGTCAATTTACTGAGTTAAAACTCCTCACTGGCCAGGCACGGTGGCTCACACCTATAATCCCAACACTTTGGGAGGTGGGAGGATCACCTGAGGTCAGGAGTTCGAGACCAACATGGTGAAACCCCGTCTGTACTAAAAATACAAAAAAAATTTAGCTGGGCATAGTGGCAGGCACCTGTAATCCCAGCTACTCTGGAGGCTGAGGCAGGAGAATCGCTTGAACCCAGGAGGCGGAGGTTGCAGTGAGCTGCGTAATGCATTCCACCCTGGGTGACAGAGTGACTCTGTCTCAAAAAAAAAAAAAAAAAATTCCTCGCTGTCATTTTAGGTATGACCTTGGGCAATTCTTAAACCCATCAAACCTTACTTTTCTCACCTGTAAAATGGGAATAATATTCATACTTCATTGTGATTATCTATGTAGTTCAGTACAGTTCTTAGTTCTTATAAATTAGTAATGTTAGCAGTTACTGTAACTCTTCCATTCCTCTCACTTATAACACCCAGAACACAGCGTAGCTGTTTCAAGCCTTCAGAATTTTTTTTTTTTTTTTTTTTTTGAGACAGAGTTTCGTTTGTGCTCCCAGGCTGGAGTGCAACAGCAAGATTTCAGCTCATTGGAGCCTCTGCCTCCCAGGTTCAAGTGATTCTCCTGCCTCAGCCTCCTGAGTAGCTAGGACAGCTAGGACTATAGGTATGCGTTACCACGCCTGGCTAATTTTTTCTATCTTTAGTAGAGATGGGATTTCACCATGTTAGCCAGGCTGGTCTCAAACTCCTGACCTCAGGTGATCAACCCACCTCAGCCTCCCAAAGTGCTGGGATTACAGGAGCCAGCCACCGTTCCCGGCCGCCTTCAGACTTTTGTTCGAACCTGGAAAACTCTTTCCCTCCTAACTGGCCTAGAGAAAACATCTTTCAAGAGTCAGCTGAAGCATTACTTCCTCTCAAAGTGTGTCTTACCTTCACTCATTCCCAGGATTTACAATTCCCCTTCTTTGTGTCCAAACAATAGCCATATATATATATATATATATATATATATATATATATTTTTTTTTTTTTTTTTTTTTTTTTTGAGATGGAGTCTCACTCTGTCACCAGGCTGGAGTGCAATGGCATGATCTCAGCTCACTGCAACCTCTGCCTCCCAGGTTCAAGTGATTCTCCTGCCTCAGCCTTCTGAATAGCTGGGATTACAGGTGCGTGCCACCACACCCAACTAATTTTCTTATTCCTTTTTTTTTTTTGAGACGGAGTTTCTCTCTTGTTACCCAGGCTGGAGTGCAATGGCGCGATCTCGGCCCACTGCAACCTCCGCCTCCTGGGTTCAGGCAATTCCCCTGCCTCAGCCTCCTGAGTAGCTGGGATTACAGGCACACGCCACCATGCCCAGCTAATTTTTTGTATTTTTAGTAGAGGCGGGGTTTCACCATGTTGACCAGGATGGTCTCAATCTCTTGACCTCGTGATCCACCCGCCTCGGCCTCCCAATGTGCTGTGATTACAGGCTTGAGCCACCGCGCCCGGCCCTAATTTTCGTATTCTTAGTAGAGACAGAGTTTCACCATGTTGGCCAAGGTGATCTCAGTCTCTTGACCTTGTAATCCGTCTGCCTCAGTCTCCCAAAGTGCTGGGATTACAGGCATGAACCACCATGCCTGGCCCAAAAATATATTTTAAGCAATTTTATTTTTATATCTCTGCCTCTGCCTGCTAGAGTGACTTTCTGGAGAGTAGGATGTGGGTCACATCTGTCTCTGTGTCCCCAAGTCACAACACAACATCTGATGTAAAATAGGAGCTCAGTCAGTGGGCATTCAATCAATAGTATTCCGTTCCTCTCTCTGTCCCCACTTCCCCCACTAACTCCCTTGGCTTTTATAGTAGGATAATGAATGAGAAAGTGCTATGTCATGATGACTGAGCGTCTCAATTTTTGTTATTTATCATACTACCTTGCATAGTAATGATTTATTTGCTTTTTCCTTCTTTGCTTGAGGCTGAATAGTTATTTGGCATTATTCCTTTTTTGTTTTTTAACTTTTTTTGTTTGTTTTGTTTTGTTTTTGTTTTTGTTTTATATTTCTGTCCTTACTGCTTATGCATTTTTTTTAACTTTTATATCACTTTCATTATTTTTTATCAGGCAGCCACCCAAGCCAGTTTAGGCTCAGAGAGACTCTCCTTTCTTTCTTGAAGGAGCAGAGGCAGCATAAAAGTTCAGAGCTTAATAATGGAGGCTACGGGCAGACTAAACCAATACATAGTGCACACAGTCATACTTCAGCCCAAAGAAAATTGTCACCTATTTTATCCACCATGTGCCAGGCACTGGGCTGAGCACTTGAGTTTATTTATCTCATTTAAGAACCAAAAGAGGCCGGGCATGGTGGCTCACACCTGTAATCTGAACATTTTGGGAGGCCGACATGGACTGATCACCTGAAGTTGAGAGTTCGAGACCAGCCTGACTGACATGAAGAAATCCCATCTCTACCAAAATATATTAAAAATTAGGCAGGGCGCGGTGGCTCAAGCCTGTAATCCCAACACTTTGGGAGGCTGA